GTTAGGATGATTGAAGAGCTCGGAACTGCCGAGCATGAACTTGACTTTATCAGTGGCGGTGGAGGACTGCAAATGGGTCTGCTAGCTTGTGGTTGATTGAAGAAGATGGGTGCTCACTTTGGTAGTGAGAACTGTGCAAGCATGGAACTGGGTTTGCTTTTTGATTTTTTTTATTAAAAGTCACCAAAGCTCAAAAGTGAGGAACAAAGTCAAGTTACGACTTGATGCAATTCCGGCGAGGCTAAAAAGACGATCGGCTGAGAGAGAGAGACGATCGGTAATGGATTTAGGTAATAAGGGCTTTTTGGTATTTTTGTATGACAAGGGTGAAATGGGTATTTAGAAAGAAAAAAAAGTAGCTTACACGCGCTTGATTGCGGTCAAAAAATTTCTATTGGTGACCGGATTGGGTAAATTATAACGAAGTACAATAATTCAGGGGGTTAATTGCATTTTTTTTTAGTTCAGGGGGTTTATTGTATTTTGGCCTATAGTTCAGGGGTTTTTTTTGTACTTTACCCTATCTTTTATAATGACATAATATGTTTGGTTGGAGGAAAGGATTGCAAAGGGATGGATGAATCTTTTCGTGCTTGGTTGGAGAGAAGGGAAGAAGCAAGGAGGGATGAAACATCCCTCATTTCTTCTTTCTTTTTTTTCTATCTGCCCAATTTTTGGGGAAGGGAGGAGAGAGAAAATGAATATATAAATACCTACACATGCAATTTTCACTTTTCACCTTTTTAAAAAAAAAAAAATCAAATGGATATTTACCTTTTATTATTTTATACAATGAGGATATATTGATAAAAAAATAAATAAAAACTCACTTTTCCTTCTCTCTAGCCAAAAAAAAAAAAAAAAAAATCACCACATCCATCATTTATACTGTCCATTCCATTTAACCAAACAAAAAATGAGAGAACCCTTCCTTAAGGTTTCCTCATCCATCCCTCCCCCTATCTATTCCATTCATTTTTCCATCCCTCCAGTCAAATGATCAACATAAATTTTTTTAAAAAATAATTTTTCTTTAGTATGATTTTTTAAGGTATTTTTTCTTTATTAATTTTTTAAAAATAAAAATTTAAGAAAATTGTTTCAAGATATTTTTATTTTTTTATAGACGAATCATTAATTTTTTTCGAAAATAATTCTTAACAACACTATGCGGAATGAGTTATTTTTATTAATTTAATTTTATATTAAGGGACATCATTTCTTAAATTTATATTAAGAGACATTTTTATCATTATAATATAGGGGGTTTTATTTCAAAAAATAAAAAAATAAAAAATTGCAGGGCATTTTTGGGCCAAAAATTAAAAATGGAAGAATTTTTTTTTGCAATTTGCCTTTGATTTTACAAATGAAAAGTCGAGTGCAATTTGGCCATATATATAAATGGTCTACTCCCATTATTTAGTATACTATTGTAGACTGAACAACAAAGCATGAATTGAGGTAGCAGAACCACAAATTGTTTCACAATGATCAATTTATGTGATCCTTCTTGTGCACAAAATTACATATTGTAAGAGGGGTTTGTTTCACATATTTGAATGGGGAATGATTTAGATATATAGGGCCTATATAATACCCCTAATTTTTAAAAGGATAGTCCTGGTATTTCATTAATTGTTTAATTGCATTTTTTTTTAATTTATTTAATTGGTTATTTATTTGTGTATTTGGTTGCATTGATTATGTGATTGTTTAATGGTTATTTAAACTGGATTTTTGTTTTACTTTAATTGATTAATTGGTTAATTATTTTCTTTTAGTTGATTAATTGTTTTGATTTCATTGGTTTGTTTGTAGTTGATTATTTAATTGCTTTAGTTGAGTTGGTTTAATTAAATTTATTTAGTTTTAATGGGACTATATGATTGGTTGCATATATAGTATACACATAAGTAAACATAAGTAACCGACATAGTTTTAACCTAGTTTTCTTTATGGGCTGAGTAGGTTATGTTTAGGGTTTAATTGAACCTAAGGTAGTGGCCTATAAATATTCAAGTAATATTCTGACTAGGGTTTTAGAAAACTATTACGATATAGTAAGGGCTGAAGGACTTGGAGAAGGCTGGGAAGGAGAATAGAGAGCAAACAAAGAGAGTTTCGACGGCAAATTGAGGCGAATGTCGGCGTAAGGCAAGTTCTATCCTTACTCTCTCCCTTAGGTTTCGTGTTCTTTACATTCTTAAACAGTTCTAGGACTAATTAAATCAACTAAACACATGCTCTGTTCGTGCTTAAACTGAAACTTATCAGTATGTGTTGTATGTTTAAAATTCTGTTAAAACGTGATAGTTGCTCGCATATATCTCTGTTTAACCTATGTATGAAATGCAATAAAGACTTAAACATGGACTGGGGAAAACTGCTGGAGTTGAATTATAATTTCTGGAAACCATAGCATAGGGCGAGGAGTTGCAAAAGGGTTCTGAAGAAGAGGGAAAACGAAGAGGCGAGGCAAGAGAGGGAGAGAGCCGGCTCTCCCTTGGAGAGAGCCGGCTCCTCTTGAGTAGAGGCGGCTCCCAAGTGGGGGAGCCGGCTCCAAGTTCTAAAGGAGGCGGCTCCCCTTTTGGGAGACGTCTCCTTTATGCATTTTTTTCATTTTTTTTGAGTTTCCAGCCAGTTTTGATTACAGGGGTTGGTTTTCTGTGGTTTTAGTTGGGTTTGGGGATGTATGTGGAGTGTGTGGATGATGCTTAAAGACAGCTACTTAAGTCCCAAGAGGTGTTAATAAGTTAATTACTTGGGTAGCTCGGACAACAAATAGTTAAATCAATGAACACACTGTTTAGAGTTTAAAAAAAATTCTGTCGGTAATATTTTCTGAGACGGATAATATAATTAAAACATGTTTCACTTCATATTATGATCATGTACTTGAATTATAGTTATTTTGGATGAGTTGGTATCGAGTGATCTAGGTTTTAAATCAAACTTAGCATTACTGGATTCCGGGAGCACTATAGGATAAGCATGTCTATATACCCACTGTAACTCTGTTTTGATGTTTCCGTGATTACAGTTTGCATAAATTGTTGAATATAAACTTAGTTGATATTTACTTTAATACCTGTACTATCAACGGTTGGCTGTTGAAAGTTATTAAAATTTACACGTAATAGTATACCGGTTTTACCGAAACTAAGCATGTTTATATATACTGTGGTTCTGTTATTGATACTTATCTTGTCACTGCTGGTGTCAATTTCTGGAATAATGGATCTAGTTGATAGTTATCTTAATTGACTGTAATATCAACTGTTGGATGTTGTATGCTATTAAGATTTAAACTTAGTACTATACAAGATTTTATGAAACACTATACATTAAGTGTATTTATGAAAATACTGTAATTTTGTTTTGATGCATTCATTATCGCTGTCAGTATCAATTGTTGGAAACATGGATTTAGTTGATATTTACCTTAAGTGTAAGTTTATCAACTGCTGGATGGTTGGAGTATGCACCGGTATGGGACGGTGGCATACTAGGGACGGTTTGGATTCAAAACACCAGAACCTACCTACTCTGGATTAAAAATTGGATTAACTAAAAGTTAAGTCCTATTGATTGTAGTGTCATGGCAACAACTAGTTGAGCGGCACTACTAGGATTCAGGATGGATTTTAAATATATTGTTATGGTACCTCGATATGAGCTTGAGTCTCAGGATCGACGGTTAGGGAGCGTATATGCATTGGGATGCATAGCTGGATACGATGGTTAGAGGTGTACCCTGTTTAGGTTTAGGTACACATGCCCACTTCATGTGCGTTTTTAGCATGTTACCTCTATTCAGGTTGAGACCGGCCTGTAGTCCAGTGAGAGTCCTTTAGTGTGACTATACATATATACACTTATGGACTATTAGCTATTGTTAAATTGCTTAGGATGTACATGCGTATCGGGCCTCTGTTTGGACTGTAGTAGTTTAGAACTTGTGCGTGGGCCTGACCCACTTCTATTTTTCAGGTACACGACAGTTCCAGGCTTAGACGTGTTCGTGCTGAGCAGAGGTCTCTATTCACTCTTCCGACAACGTAGGATTCTCTCCATAGCTTTATTTCTGGATATTTATTACAGTTGTTTTATCTTCCGTTTGGATGTTTAACAGGGGTCCACTAGAGATGGATTCCCGAGTTGTAAACTGAAGGAGTTTTGGAGTTTGGGTTATCAGATTCTAAGTATTTAATTATAAAGGATTTTACTTTTAGTTTCTTTCAGCTTAAACTTTATTTTTTTTTTTTAAATTCATTTTTGTCATCTGTGTTCGTATTACATATTAATTGTTTGATATTTCCCTCGGGTTTGGGCTTGGGCCTGATCAACCCGTGTCTCGGATCCGAGGGGTATCACAGCCTACTTGGCTAGTGCTTTTGCTTCATATTTTTTTGTTTTTATTAGTGTACTGTAGTGAAACAAAAGCACGAAGCACGTTTCGTTATATTTGTTGTGCTGTTGAATAGTACCAAAACGCTTCCAAAATTGAGGTCAAAATCGAAAGTATTAAAATGATGTTTTTGTTTGCTTCCGCACTGTACCAAAGCACTGTTCAAAAAAAAAAAAAAAACTTTCTAAAATAACATTTTTAACTGACCATTCAAATTTTCAAACTTGCAACACTTTTTACCAAACATGCACGCTTTCATGTTTTTGATTTTAAAAATCTTGTAACAAATTTAGGTTACTAAACAAGCTTCTAAATAGTGTTGAACATACTCTAAAAGCAAAAATATTGCTTCTGCGTCGTGTCAAAGTAAAAGTACAAATCAATTGTGGTTGCCAAACGGCCCATAGTATTTAACAATTTAAACTTCTTTTTTTTTTTAGTTGGTACTCACACACACATCTCAATTGAGACTCAAACTCCTGACATTTTTTTTAAGAAGTATGAACTTAGTACCGCTAGGCCACTGGCCTGTTGATTCAAAGGTTAAGCGTCCCACCCGTAATTAATTTGATGCCAAGGCCCACCTTAATGGAGTCAAATTAAAATATATGCATCCATAAGAAGAGAAGCAGTAGTTTTGCATAAAAGTAACAACTGACAACCAAGTTAACAAGAAGAGTAGTAACAACCTCTAAGCTACAAACAAGCTGTTAAAATACTACTATTATGCTAAAAAAGGGAACTAACAATGCCTTTTTCCTACTTGACTAGTGAAATTAAAGATTGATTGCAATCCCATTAATTAATACTAAGTTGAAACAAACCTAAATTTCAAGTAGGGGCATTGGCTTGAAGTTGAGTGCTGATTCTCTCAGGGGAGGAAAACATCTGAAAGGACTGTGTTGGAATACAAGGAGGCCTGCACTATCTCCAAACCCTAATAAAAGCACACACAAAAAAAAAAAACACACTACTCAACTAAAGCAACAACAACAATTTTAATTAAAGAAGCCAATTGAGAAGATTTAAAAGGGTAGTAGTACCATTTCCATGTCAATCTCTACTATCATTTCTTGAAGACAACCAACATCTTTAACCTCAATAGTGTTCAGAAGAGTGATGCTAGATATTGTGGACATGGGTTTCACCACCAGATCATCCATCACCATGTATGTCACAACATCTTTAACATACCCATCCAACTGATCTGGCTTGGCAGGAGTGTTTGGAAACAAATGATCACTAACACCAAATGGGCTAACAAATAATGGGAAAGTACTACTACTGAATGGAGGGGTCTGAATGGTGCTTGAAGAGGCTGCCGTGGGCCGCGAGAGGAAGTCCTTATTTTTGTGGTTAGGCAGCAGATAGCTGTTGTCAAAGCCTCTGGCACTCCGGTAGACACTGCCCAAGGATCCGAAAGTAGTCTTGCCGCGCTCAATTAAAAGGGCCATAATGGAGCCAAGGGGCATCCCAAGGAGTCCAAACAAGAAGTCCACAAAGTCCTTTCCGGCCTCTGCAAACAGCACATTCCTCGCCTTGTTCACGAGTAGCTTCAACTTTATTTTTGTATTCTTTTCGGTGAATAGCTTCAAGTTTATTTGTGGTGTCGTGGCCATTTGAGATTGACTGGTTAGCAAAGGAGTGAGCTTGGAGATAACAATGTCCAAAATAGGGCCAGAATGCTATCTTTAATATAGATCTGCAACATTTGATCTTTAATTACTGTGCATTTTAAGAAAGTTTGGAGTGCTTGCCACAACTTTATTACCTTTTCCTTTGTCATCTTTTTCTTTTGTTCGAAAGTTAAAATGATGATTCAATTTCACTAGTACAAGTGTTTGTCAAAAATGTAAGGTGAAGATGATTTAAAAGATCAAAGGATGCAAATAAACAATTCACATGTAATTAATCTTTCCAAAAAAAATTATGACGAAAGTTAAAACTATATTTGTTCACAAGGAACGATAACGTAAGTGATAAATTCAGAGAAAATTTAATAATTGTATTAATAATTGAATATGTGATTCTACTCTTTACATTACATATATATATATATTTGTAAATGAAAGAAAATCATAATTCATATAGAAACTAAATGTAACATAAAATATTATAACATATGAAAAAAATTTCAATATGCCCGTTTGCTCCCCGACGGTTCAAACGAGTTATAAAAATTTCAACAATCAATTTTACATCATGCTATCATTTAAAAATCTTCTCACCAATTTTGATGCATATAATATTATATATATAACTAATAACAATAAATTTAAGTTTGAAGAACTGTCAGATCTGTAGATATGAATGCTTTGATCTTCCATTGTATCACCGGTTGTTGTTAAATTCAATTGTAGTGTACGTTCTAAATGTGGAAACACCTAACGTGGCATATATAAGTTCTTTCTGAATTGAAAAAGTATGAAGAGATTCATTGTATATCATGTCTGGTTCATTCTTCAAAACCATATATATCTAACAATAATTGTACCTTACCTTTGATTTACTTTTTTGCGCACCCTTATCACAGGACGTACGAAAAACTTTCAAGATTCATATGGCATCCTAAGACCAAACTTGATTGCTAAGCAAAAGAAAATTTAAATTAAATAAGTAAATAAAAAGGTAAAGAAAATATAGTGCCAATCTTTTTTTTTTTTTTTATTTTTTGTTAAGAGAGATAGGGAAAAAAAGAAAAAAAATGGCATCCCACTTAGTTGCCAAGTAAGATAAAATTTGTAAAAAAAAAAAAAAAAAAAAAAAAAAAAAAAAAAAAAAAAATGTTTTGGGTAGCACTAAACTTGATGATGTCAAAGGTAAGAGGGGTACCATTATAAGGTTGCAAACCTTGGCTTGTCACGGCAAAAGGGTAAACTGTAGTATTGGTTTGGTTTCTGTTTACACTCTGTTCTAAAGTATAAAACGAAAAAGAAGAGAGAGATAAATTAAATAACAAGTAGAACACATATATATTACACGGTTCAGTCATTAGGGCCAACATTAATGGCACGAAGAGTTCAAAAAACTACATCACTTTTATAATACTATCTCAATTCATATATAATACATGAAGACTATTCATATAGATGAAGAAATTATGAATGGAAAGAATTAAAAAATAGGAAATAAGAAGAATTTTTCTCTATTGATTCCTCTAGTAACACCAAATCTTCAATAATAGAAAATAACATCAATTACTGAAAGATTTTCTTCTACTGATTCCTTTTTCAATACTCTCGCTCAAGTTGGAGCATGAATGCGCAACTTACCATTGAGATGACGAGTAATAACTAGTGTGAATGCTGAAGAGAGAAGACGAAGAACAATACTACCGAACACACTGACAGCCCAAAAAAGTCAATAAAAAACTGCTGGAAGCACGGCAAAGGCGAAGACAATGCTACCGAATACACCGGTAGTCCAAACAAGTTGATAAAAACTGTCGGAGACACGGCAAAGATAAAGACAATGCTACCAAACACACTGGCCGCCCAAACAAGTCAATAAAAACTGTCACAGACACGACAAAGACAAAAAACATTACTGTTGAACAAATTGGCAGCCTAAACAAGACACAAATAGTATCGAGAAACCCTTAGCAACATTTCATATGCTAAAGGAATATCCCAAAATAGGGGTTCGAACCTAGGAAGAGAAATTAGACTCTAATACCATGGTGTAAAGAATCAAACGGAAGTGAAGAGATAAATAAAACAAGTAGAACACACAATATTATGTGGTTCAGCCACTAGGGCTTACATCCACGGCACAAAAAGCTCAAAAAGTTACATCACTTTTATAATACTCTCTCATTTCATATAAAATACAATGGTGGATGCTCCTTTATATAGGAAAAAAAAAATATGACAATTGAAAGAATTAGAAAATAGGAAATAATGAGAATTTTTCTCCATTGATTCCTCTAATAACACTAAATCTTCAATAATTGAAAATAACATCAATTATTGAAAAAAAATTATCAATTAAATCTTTAATGTGAAGTGTACGATACCTCTCATATCTTATATGAAGTGATCAAGACGTATTAATGAAAACTATAAAAAAGAAATATTAGGACCGATCACAAGTAGTGTCACGAACCGTCCAACCCGTATATTTTTGTTTTGCACACTTTTCTTCTATGCTTGAAATGTCCATACGTATAGGTGAAATCAAATCTTTCTCCCATGTGCAGAAACACATCATCACACTTATCAGCCCTAATCAAGTCACAGAGCAGCCTTTAAGATGCTTAAGAGCATCTGGTATGCATTATACACCTTTTCTATCTATTTTTTAAAAAATAAAGTACCACGTAAGCATTATTTAATAAAAAATACTTACATGGTACTCTACTTTTTTGTATTGAAAATTGTTTTACGGTATGTAATATAAATATCTCATTATCTATTTATTATTAATTTAATTTAATTTAAAAATTAAATTCCAAAGGTGGGCCATCCACCGGCTATAGCTGAAGATGTTGAGAAAATGAACCAGAAGCTAACAAAGAAAATATTAAAATATTATAACAAAATGGATAGATATTATCTATGTGATTGTCTAATTGTGGAGAGTGGAATAGATAATAGCAGATGACCACTAATTAAGGACTATATCATTCACCCATACCAGCCCCTCTTTCTCTACTTTACTGAAATCTACTCTACATTTATCCCCACCCCGGATGCTTTAAGTAAACACCAAAAAGCAACTCTCTATTAATAAGACCTCTAGGGTAGATCTTAGCCAGACAGCTAAATCGACCATAATTACTTGGTTTATTTTTCATTTCAAACTTGTAACTGGAGGTGTAACACCAAGCTAAGATTTATTTCCTTTGTTTTAGTAACTCTTAGTTTAGTTCCTTTACACTTTAGTCTTTTGTTTTACTAATATTACAATTAGTTAAAGGAAATTCAAGCCCAAAAAGGGTAGAATGCTAAAAGATGAATCAAGGTTTGGGGCCTTTGGGCTTAGATCTGAAGGACTCCAGGAGAGCCGAGACAAATGAGTCATCATGAATCAGGGCATGACACACTAGCTTATTCAAGCCTTATATGCATTATACGTGTCCATGCATGATTAACATGTACGGCTCAAATGAACCCGGTGCGCTAAGCGCATCCAATACCTTCACTATGTGGGGGCACTGAAACTTTTTTTTTTTATACAAAATTACTTATAATTTTTGTTAAAATTTAAAAAATGCCTCCACTCAATTCTTGATAATACCTCTATTCTTGTTACTCAAGTTTGCCCTTCTCATACAATTTTCCAAATTCATCACTGCTCGTATTTGTTAACTAAAAGCAAGCCAAGATCAAATCTCAATTAGAAGTTTACTTTTTAAACCAGTTAAACTCGAGCAATTATGAACTTGAACTACATAGGCTACAAAAGGCTTCATACATATCTTTTGATTATAACCAATAATAATAATAATAATAGTAATTGAAAATATAATATGTAACTGAATCTTGGAGTGCAAAGTGGACGTGTGAGTGAGGTATTGCCGATGAAAATATATATATAGAAAAGTGGCTGGGCCCTTTTCTAATTTGTTCGATGAGACAGAGCTGGACCTAATTTGGAGTTCCACCATTGGGCCCCTATTTTTTTCTCTGTTTCTTTGAAACAACATTTTTCAATACTATCTTAGACGGTTTTATAGGATGAGCCTTAAATCCTGAAGGCCCAATAAAATCAACTTTGACAACCAAATGGGCCAACAATAATCATTCTATTGAGAACCCAATGGACCAGATTTAGGTCAAAAGGGCAAAAAAAAGACAAATACCAACCTTCCCAAATGACTTTGAAAAGGCCCAAAAGAAACACCATTTGTATATGCGGTTTTTGGGCCTGTTTTTGTTATTTCTTGTGAACACATACAAAGGGACCCGCCCACAGTCAAATAATTATTGAACTTTAGAGAGATATTTATATAATTAGTTTCTTTTTGATCTCTCATCTATTTATTTTCTTTAGTTATTTACTAGCGCAATTATGATCTAAAAATCGATCCGGGACAAGTGTTCAGATATATTATGACATAGCTACAAAGAAGAATCATTGCAGAAAAATAGGGTTTTCTCTTGTAAAAAACAGACATCCACACATCTTATGGAAACTATGGCTATTAATTGATATTGGTCTCATTGTGAGATTGACACCATGCATCCAAGTACTCACAATTGCTACGGCAATCCCAATTATGACATCTATTTTCTCTCATTTTACTCGTATAAACAAAATAGCACTTTCACATCTTCTTAATTCAAAATGGCTTGAGAGAAGAAAAAAAATAATATATATTTTTAATTTTTTAATATATTTTCGGAACAGATCTAGTGGATATGGAATTAGAGGTGCACATAATTCGGTTTAGTCCGATTTTAAAATAAATCAAAACAAAATCGATCTTGATAATTCTAAAAATATTCAACCAAAATCGGTCTGATTCAATTTATAATGATTTCTACCTTGGAGGATGGTGTATCCTCTAAACAGAAACGTGTCCCTCCACATTTGAAAATGGTTGTGGACTGGTTTTAAGCGCGCAATGTCAAGTTCGGTGAGCCCAGTTTTTATTGATTTACTATTCGGTAGGCAGCTGGGTGGACGACAACGAACCCTAGTAAACTTGTAAATTGACAAAATAGGTGACATACCTCTACCGCGAAGAGTA